TCCTTGGGGGAGTACACGCTTTCTTTACAGGAGATTTTTACAAAAAATAGATGGCAGATATTTTGTTGCCGGTCAGTAATGAAACCAGCATAGGCATAAAAAGCCAGCAATAATATAAAATCGATCGATAACCTGCTAGGGTAAACAGTACCAATAGTAACAATACTAGTTGGCACACCTAATGATTGGAACTTTGCTATTTTAATCTCAATATTAAGAACGTTTACCATTTTTCAAAGATATTGCTAATATATATGATTTCTTATACTAACAATGCCGTGTGGTGGCGGTCAAGAATATCCACTACCCCATATCCTCCCGTGGGTGTCGTAAAAGGCGACAAAGGGAAACAGCCAGGAGATGGGCAGCAGCATCTTCCTGATAATAACCAGATTACAATAAAAAAACTGCGGTTGCCAACCCGCTCGCCAAGCGTGGCAACTATGGCAAATACCCCCCAATGATGAGAGCAACAAAAAAACGGCCCCCAGTCCCCGGCGGCCCCGCTATTCCTGGCTACGGTGGCGACCATGGTAACGGCGGGGCAGGGGGTGCTAAGAATCTCCGGTGGAGGTTCGGTTGCCACCTTAGACGACTCGACCTGGCAACGTACAACGCACGCACCCTGAGGACTGACGAGAAGATCGTGGAGCTGGAAGAAGAGATAGACAAGTTGCGCTGGCATATTATAGGATTATCCGAAGTCCGAAGAGAGGGGGAGGACACGGTAATCCTCGAATCCGGCAACTTGCTCTATCACCGGGAGGGCGACCATCTGTCCCAAGGAGGTGTCGGATTTATCGTCCACAAGTCTCTCGTTAACAACGTTGTAAAAATCGGGAGTGTGTCGACGAGGGTTGCGTACCTTATACTCAGAATCACCAAACGGTATTCGCTGAAGGTCATACAGCTTTACGCACCAACCTCGGCACACCCCGATGAGGAGGTGGAGGAAATGTATGAGGATATCTCTAGAGCCATGCATTCCTCCAAAACCCAATATACGGTGTTAATGGGAGACTTCAATGCAAAACTAGGCACAAGAGAGAACGGTGAGCTGAAAGTAGGGAAATTTGGAATAGGGCAACGGAACCCAAGGGGCCAGCAGCTGGCCGACTTCATGGAGAAAGAGGGACTCTTTATGATGAACTCTTTCTTCCAGAAGCGGCCCCACAGGAAGTGGACCTGGTCGAGCCCCGACGGTTCCACAAAAAATGAGATTGACTTCATTATGACGACCAGACGACAACTGTTCAGTGATGTCTCCGTGATCGCGAGGGTGAAAACTGGTAGCGATCACCGAATGGTTAGAGGCACACTGAACCTAAACGTTAAGTTGGAGAGGTCTCGTCTAATGAAGTCAACGCTCCGTCCCCCTCGTGCTCTGTTCCTAAGTCCCGAAACCTTTCAGCTCGAGTTACAAAACCGTTTTCAGTGCCTGGAAGACTGCAATGAAGTGGACGATATGAATGACAAGCTCGTGGAAACTGTCCATGCGGTTGGAGCTAAGTTCTGCAAGACCCGCCGCAGAAGAACACAAAAACTCTCCGATCACACTCTTAATCTCATGGCTGTTAGACGGGAGATAAAGCTACATTCTTCAACAGACTTGACAGCATACAGGCATCTGAACAGACAGATCTCCAAATGCATGCGGCGGGACTTACGCAACTTCAATACAGCTCGTATTGAAGAAGCGATCGAGCGGAACCAAGGCTCCAAAGTCTTTGCCAGAGATCTGTCTGCCAGAAAGAGCCAACTGTCAAAGCTGAAGACAGAATGTGGCAGCATCGTTTCCGGGACACCTGAGATTTTGAGTGAGATTGAGAGGTTCTATGGGCAGCTGTACACATCATCGTTGGAGCCACACGCAAGTGTGAGTAACGATCCAAGAGCGAGTCTCATCCGACACTATTCCGAAGATATCCCGGATGTCAGTCTGAGCGAGATTAGGATGGCTCTCCAGCACCTAAAAAACGGTAAGGCCCCAGGCGAGGATGGAATTACAGCGGAGCTTCTGAAAGCGGGTGGAAGACCGGTACTTGAAGTCCTTCAGAAGCTCTTTAGTTCCGTCCTCCATGGTGGCATTACACCGGAGGCGTGGAGCAGAAGTGCGGTGGTCTTGTTCTTCAAGAAAGGTGACAACGCTCTCTTGAAGAACTACAGACCGATTTCCCTTCTGAGCCGCGTCTACGTGCTGTTTTCGAGAGTCATTACGAATCGTCTTGCGCGCAGACTTGATGACTTCCAGCCTCCCGAACAAGCCGGTTTCCGAAAGGGCTTTAGCACCATAGACCACATACATACCCTTCGGCAAGTTGTACAGAAGTCCGAAGAGTACAATTTGCCACTATGTCTGGCGTATGTGGACTATGAGAAAGCCTTTGATTCCGTCGAAATTTGGGCGGTGCTGCAGTCCCTTCAGCGGTGCCAAGTTGACTGTCGGTATATCGAAGTGTTGAAGTGCTTGTACAGTAGGGCTACGATGGCTATCCGAGTACAGAACCAGAGTACGAAACCTATCCAATTGCAGAGAGGTGTAAGACAGGGTGACGTCATATCCCCGAAACTCTTCACCGCTGCATTGGAAGACGTTTTCAAGCTTCTGGACTGGAAAGGATACGGTATCAACATCAATGGCGAGTACATCACTCACCTTCGATTTGCCGACGATATAGTCCTTATGGCAGAATCGCTGGAGGACCTAAGCACTATGCTCAATGACCTCAATAGTGTTTCCCAACGGATAGGTCTTAAGATGAACATGGACAAAACTAAGATCATGTTTAATGTCCATGTCACACCTATGCCGGTAGTTGTTGGGAACACTAAGCTCGAAGTTGTTGACGAGTATGTTTACCTGGGACAAATAGTCCGACTGGGTAAGTCCAACTTCGACCGAGAGGTCAATCGACGGATTCAACTCGGCTGGGCAGCGTTCGGGAAGCTACGACACATCTTCTCGTCAGACATACCTCAAAACCTTAAAACGAAATTGTACAACCAGTGCGTGTTGCCAGTGATGACTTACGGAACTGAGACGTGGTCCTTCACTGCTGGCCGTATGAGGAAGCTCAAGGTCGCTCAGCGAGCTATGGAGAGGGCTATGCTCGGAGTTTCTCTGCGTGATAAACTTAGGAATGAGGATATCCGCAGTAGAACCAGAGTGACCGACATAGCCCAACGGATTAGTAAGCTGAAGTGGCAGTGGGCCGGCCATATAGCTCGAAGAACCGACAACCGATGGGGAAGAAAGGTTCTCGAGTGGCAGCCTCGTACCGGTAGGCGAAGTGTAGGGCGTCCCCCCACGAGATGGAGTGACGACCTGGTAAGACATGCAGGAAGTCGATGGATGCAGGTGGCTCAGGACCGTGTTTTGTGGCATTCTTTGGGGGAGGCCTATGTTCAGCAGTGGACTTGTGAAGGGCTGTAATGATGATGATGATGATGATACTAACAATACATATTTATATTTGAACCGTCAACTATTTTCTATTACCTGTATCAAATTTGCCTTGTATCCTTTCACTTAATAATGATTTATCAGTAAAAAGAAAACTAACTCTTATGTTTTTCATCAACTAGGCAGCAAATTTAGAATTTGTTGGAGGGGAATGGGTGATTACCAGTCAATACCACAACTTTAGAAAAAGTTTAAAGAGTTACTGAAGCAGAAAATATTAAAGTAACCATCCAACTGCAATACAGGATGAACAGAGACTGAAGCCTTTATTTACTAATTATCCGGAGAATATTTTCCTTAAACCGATGAATTTATAAATAAAATAGATTACCAATATATAATGGAACAGTAAACACCGAAATAAAGTTCTATTTTTCAAAATATCGAGAAAAAACGAAAGGTTTTACTAAAAGACACATCAAAAATGTATCCGAAGAAAAAAAGAAACATGGTAGATCAATAAAACCACTTTTAGATAAAGATCTAAAGAAAATATTTTAAGAAGATTTGTTTAAAATAAGTCGTATAACAATAAGATTGAACTTAAATCTGGGTTTAACTTTTTAAAACTTCCAATGGTGCCAATGATTAGACTTAATTTATAGTGCCATTCAATATCCTAAAGTGCCAATGATTGTAACATTCATTCATGCAAAAAGTTTATTTAGATTTTTATTTTAATCAAACACTTCTTTTTAAACTTAATGCGTCGCTTCATTTAAATATTTAAATTCTCGTAAAAAAAAAAATATAACAATTAGTTTTTTAAAAAGTTGAATGATGGAGTTTCTATCCATAATAGAAAATACAAACACGGATACAAATACTAATAAAATTAAAACCACTGCTTGGCAAAAAGTGATGAAAAGCTTAGTAAAATACCATTTTTTATGAATTTTGTTTCACGTTTCTTGTATGCAAATTGTGATTGAGACATTTTTAATTATTGTGAATTGAATAGCCGGGTAAGAGAATTTAGCTGAATAAAGCAACAGTGACGCACTATGAAACTTGATGCAAAAAAAAAAACATGTCAAAAGTAAAGACATCTATCAAATCGTGGAGAGCCAAAACCTCTTAGCCCATACCCGGAAACCATTGATATTTTGAGCATGATTCCACAGTAATTTGAGACGGATTCCAAAGTCTTCGACAGTGACAGCGTAAGAGTGAGCGGATACTATATTTTTGTAATTATTTTGTCTTAGCACTAACACACGCAAAACGGTAACATTCATTGCTATGCGGATGACAGTACTGGTGATGTTGTATACACCGGCCGTGCCAATATTTCTCGGGAAAACGTCCCCGAGTACCGAGACAAACTTGTGTCTGAAGTCGATACTTTGTTGAACCAGGTTTCGGACTGGGGTCGACTAAATCTAGTCCAGTTCAATCCCCAGAAGACACAAGTTTGCGCATTTAGCACTAAAAAGGTTGATTTAAATTTGTTGATTGAGTTTAATTTAATTAATATCCTTTAAATTCTGAATGACTTTTGTTAATATTTCAGAATATTACACGAATAACTTTTAGGATGCAAATTGAAATATATAGAAGAACAAAACGGAAACTAACATTCAATGATGTGAATGATAGTAAACACACAGCAAAACGTGAGGTAAAATGAAATTTAATTTAATTATAATAAAAAGTTTAATTTAAGTATAACAAAATAATGGAATTAGTGATTTATTATTGATAATAACAAATTTGTTTCAGGAAAGAGACTTAACCAGAAAGCGCAATCATGTTCTTGTCAGTTGCATAAAAGAGGAAAATTATTTAAAAATGAAAAATATGATAGAAACTCATAGTTTTATTAAAGAGGAACACAATTTAAAAATCCAACGAATATTATTGGAAATAGAACGCCGCTTCACATTGAAAAACTAAAATTAGAAAAATAATTTTTAAAATCAAAATTAACACAATAAATAATTTTTGTAACTAAAAGTATGTTTCAATAAGTAATCTCCTTGTTTCCTTTTCGCTTAGCATTTGTTGGTCACCATTATCTTCAGATACGACTGGTTCAAGGAAATCAATCATTTCAATGGCAATATTGTGTAATATCGCAAGCGCTACAATGTATAATTTAACATTTTCAAGTCACACACTAAGCCCAAGTAATAGACATCGAAACCTCTGTATCCAAACTCCGAAACACCTGTCAATTATATTTCTTGTCAATATTTGCGATTTATTATAAGATTCCTCCTTAGCGATACGGGGATTATGGACTGGTGTAAATATATCATTTGTCAAAACGTAGCCAGACTCTTCTAGTAAACGAACACGAAATTCCCCATTTTCAAATCGTTGTCAGAATCGGCTTTCCCTGAATATTCTTGCATCATATGTGCTGCCCCTCCAATATGTAATTAGCTACAAATTAGTGCGTATAATTTTGGTGTCTGCTGATTTTTCACTGTTTTAAAGTTTCTTTTCTATTCTCTACTACTACTACTACTACTACTCTCTTTTACTTTTTAAATGTATCAACCAGATGTTAGAAATGTAGAAATGTAAAAACCGAATGTTGCTAACATTCGGTTTTTAGCGCTCTCCATATTTTTTTATAGGATAGGGTGACAAACGAGCACACAGTCCACCTGATGGTAAGTGGTAGCTGTGGCCCATAGACATCTACATATAGCCTTATTTGCGAATCAAAATGGAGATGCGTTGTCACCCGTGAGGACCAAGATGGAACGCCTCTTTTCCAGTAAAAAGGGTGTCCGGTTCTCTACACTCACCATACGAAACACAGCAGCATTAAGCTGATATTTTACGCAGGTATTCTGTGAGAGCGTGGTCCTTCCCCGGTCGAGCCGACCCATTCGTGCTACAACTATACTACTAATATAGCCGAGGCATGGCTTTACCAAGTTAAAAAATGCAATTCAATATTGTATGCAAATAGAAGACGTTTGTAATAATTAACAGTTTTCTACTAGCTTTCTTTAATTTTAACGAGTATGTAGGTGGGTTTCTTACCAAAGTTCGCGTTTAAATAATCGCAGCCCTTAATAAATACGCTAGTAATCATTCACCAAATCACTATTTAATAGTTCAATTTAGTTTGTTTAAGATTACCGCTGGACAAAAGTTACGTTTTCATAGTTTAATTTTGTGTTTGATGAAATTTTATTCACTAATAGCTGCTCTTACAACTCGTCTTCGATAATGTTTATTTATTTTCACTAACTAATCCGTACTCCGTATTTTTCAAAATAAATCCAATTACATCCTCTCGCAAATTTACGTAACATAGGGTACGTTGAATGATCCGACACGAAAGACCGTGTAAACTACCGAGTTTACATGGTGGATTTTATAAGGTGCACTTATGCTTGCAGCTAAAAATAATAAAAGAAACCGGTCTTCCCTCAATGATTGCTTTATTATTTTTATTGAGTTGACACATTATGACATCTGTTGCCGACTAAATAGTTATAGCAAGATTCATAGTTTTATATGGACATAGGGTTAATCGGCAGCTAGCAAAACAAATTAAATATGAAAATAAACAATGGTAGAGGACTATGTTTAGCAGTAAATTTTGATAGGCTGTAACGGTGATGGTAACAGTCAGGAGGAAAAGGAGGATGAATGTTCAATGTTGTATAAAATAAATGTACTAAATCATCTTGCGAAACACCTATTCTATATAGACTCGTGGGGCGCAGCAATAATAAATCTTTTTCTTGTTGGTCATATTAGGATGAATTACTTGTACCTTAAATTTCAACATTAATTCTTCACAACATCATTGATAGCCTCGTAGATTTTTGCAACATTCACACCGTTAGTTATTTTATTTTACTTTTAGGTGTTATTTTATATTGTGTAAAAATTTATTTTTTAAATTAGTTATGTTGTGGTATTAAATGAAGGAAATGTCACAAGAACTGGTTATAATTAAGAAAATTGTTGCATTCTCTGTCCATTGTCTTTCAGTACATATATAAAAAAATAAATGTTAGAAGATGTTTTTTTCCTCGCACTACTTCCTTGTGGAATAGTTTACCGCCAGCGATTTTTCAGGACCGATACGACTTAGGGACCTTCAAGAAAAGAGCCTACTCCTTTTTAAAAAGCCGGCAACGCATCTGCAATTCCCCTGGTGTTGCGGTTGTTCATGGGCGGCGGTAGTCACTTACCATCAGGTGAGCCGCATGCTCGTTTGCCCCCTCTCCTATATATAAAAAAAAGAAAAAACAATATTTAGTATGTATGCAGCTTTTCTAAAACGATTTCAATATACATTTTCCGCTTAATTATTACTGGCAACTTCTAAATAATATTTCATAAACAGAATGCTATGAATGCTACGGTTGTGCGTTAAATTTTCAGATGTGCAAAGTGGTTCACAACGGCTTTTATTGTACTGAAACAAATAAAAGATTTAATGACATTCGCAGGAAATGTGCTGCAGACAGGTTCCTATTGTAATTCCACTTTTCAGTGATTTAATTGCATTTGAGAACAACTTCACGCCCAGTCACAGAAACTTGTTTACGCTTTAACTGGGTACTTTATGTTGTTTTTTTTTCAGTTTTTTAAGTCTGCGTTGTGTAAGTTTTTCTGATAGTTCAAGATGAAATTAAAATGAAATGGAACTTTACTCAATATACTCTTTGTATATATAACTAGCTGATATCCGCGACTTCGTCCGCGTTGCTTGATATATTAAGAAAGTTTTCGTATGTGCGAAGGAAAAAACATCAAAAAGATAACATTTATTTGTAAACAATCTTATTCGTTGCTTCGTTTGTAGCTAAAATATATAAATTATCTGTGTCATTAACGTGAGAGAAAGCGACGTAGCGACGAGCGTGTGAAAAACCCCGTATAAAAATTGTTGTTTCTTAAAACTTTAGTAACTTTATATTTAATAATTGAAATTGAATATAATTTAATTTATTTTTTAGATTAGGGCCAAGTGTCTAAAAAATAAAACTTAGTAAACTTTATTGAAATCTATCAGATAAGTTATTCCGTGATGCGCGCTCAACTGCAACACCTCTATCATTTTATTTATATAGATTATGTACAATCTACACAGCTAACGTGATACGGTGGCGCCGTAAGATATTCCATCATTCCATATTTTGCAATAAATATCGGCTAAAAATGCAATAAGAATTTTATAGACTATATTAGTTGTGCTAACATTGAAATGGAATATATGATGTTTCACGATCTGTTTTACGTTTAAATCATGCTATTGATGCATGCTGAGGCAGGTCAAGTAAGTTAAAAAACCTTTTATAAAAACAACTTTTCATGTTGGAGCCATGCTGCAGCTATAATATTGTTGTAGCACGAATAGGTCAGCTCGACCGGGGTAGGATCACGTTGTCACAGAATACTAGTGTAAAATAGCAGCTTAGCGCTGCTGTGTTTCGTATAGTGAGTGAAGAGAACCGGAGACCCTTTTTATTGGAAACGAGGCAATCCATCTTGGTCCTCAGGGGTGACAGCGCATCTGCATTTTGATACTTAATCAAGTCTATGAGTCTATGGGCCTCAGCATATACTTACCATCAGGTGGACTGTGTGCTCATTAGTCACCCATATTCTATATAAAAAATCATATTCTGAAGTAGGGGCTTAACTTCTTCTAAACACTATGATGTCATAGCACCGACTTCTTGTTCTTTAAAGTCGGCGTTTATTTCTTATTAAGAGTTATTTTTTACTCTTTTCAGTAAACTTAGCAATATTATAACCTCAATATCATCTAAATAGTTACATTATAAAAAATGTTATCTTCTGTTTTTCCACTTTTAAGTGTGATCCATATTTTTACTCCAAACTTATATGGGACCACCCTGATACCTATTTAATAAAAAAAATATTAATCAAAAAGAGTAACAATTGACGAAGATATCGCATAACATTGATACAAAAACATTCAGTCGGAACGTAATCCTCCTTCTTTTCTTGAAGACAAATAAATATGCCCCAAAATCGTACATGTAAATACTGCAAATATATTTCCGGAGGCTAAAAACATAGCCCATGAATTTTCATATCCAGAGATTTATATGCAATAACGTGAAGTCATGTGAAGTCACAGAATAAGGACATGGTGGTTGAAGAGAACCGGAGATATTTTTGCTGGTAATGAGTGCATTTTGCAACAATACAAACCTACTTAATAATACTTAATTGCTAATATGATCACATATCTTAATCGGTTGCCTTATCGAAAAAATACAAGGTATTTTTATAGAAAAATGGTTACAAATCAGCACATAGTCCACCTGATAGTAAGTGGATGCTGTGGTTCATTGATATCTACATCTATCCTCAATTAAGAATCTAAATTCAGCATGCGTTGTTACCACTAAGGAGTAAGATGGAATGTCTGGTTTCCAGTAAAATAGGTCTTCTTGTAGACAACTACACTCACCATACGAAACAAAGTCGGATTAAGCTGCTATTTCACGCTGATATTCTGTGAGAGCGTGGTCTTTCAAGTCAAACCTCAGTCAAATCCAATTGATACATTCATGCTAATACGTAGTCGTATAAATATATAAACATTTAAATGTGAGAAACTGAATTTTTGACGTAGCCAATTAAGGATACGTTATACCTTTTTATTCTGTAAATGTCACAAGATGCGTTAGGGAAGAAACAAAGCTGAAATGTCACATGTACTCAATATACAAGGTCGTTTATCCGTATACTCAGCACGAGAACTTTTTTTAAAACTGAAGTGACATACGAATTTACATTTCACCTGGCGGTAAGTCGATACTACACTCTATAAACACCTGCAGCCAAATTTAAATAACAAGAAGGCTACACTCTGAGGACAAAGATGGAATGCTTTAAATCTTGTAATTATAATGCTCTCAATAATTTTAAGACTAGAAAAT